TTACTCCATGGTTAATGCAATATACACATGGAATAGTTGGAAGTGTGTACAATATCGAATCTCAAGTTAATGTGAGTAAAGTTATTTCATAACAGATAATTATCCCGTGAAAAGGGAATGAGCGAATCAAGCTTGAAGTTCAGATAACAAAGCCAACACATAGCATATTACTAATGAATAAAGATTATCAGTTCACTGATTAAAGATCATTCAAATAATATGTTCATGCATTCTACACAGAGATGTGACTTTTCAATGATATTCAATTCTCTTTCTTTGAGTCAGGGTTTTCATTGTTCGACAAGAGCTCTTCCCAGGGAGCCAGTGCTTGATCCATGACAGCCTTTGCTGCTCTCTGTGCTGCTTCCCATGCTGTGTCGGCTCCCTCAGCTGCATGATACCCTGCAACACCTCCTTTCACTGCTCCCACTGCAACAAACCATACTGCTTCTGCTATTGAAAACCTTCTCTTCAACACTAATAAGAGAACTTCTCCAACCATCGTTACTGCGCCAAAAAGAGCTCCTAACAATACACCTGTTGCAATGCCTGCCAGTTTGATCATAACCCTTTTAAACACTCTGTCTTTAGCTTGCTCTCTGACTTCTTCCTTTGACATGTTTGCTGATGACTGTCTAATGAGCTTCTCCTCTTGTTGTATTTGTTTCTCCACTGCTTGCAGCATCTCATTGGTGTAGCAGCTTCCTTTGTTTGCTTCTACCATCTCATCTATTGTCTTTAGTAGCTCCTTCACCTGGAACTGATTGCTCCTGTATTCTTCCTGCTGGTTGTTCTTCCAGTATTTATTATCTAAGACGTGGCAGCGGCCTCCGCACTTCTTCAACAGATCACTCGCAACCTGGTTCTGCTGGAAATACTCCTCAACTGTCTGTCCTTCTTCGAGTGATTCACCATGAGTGAAGAGAACTGTTGCGTATTTGAAGACTTCTTCAGAAAAACATTGGCTTATTTTTTTGATGACGGCCTGTTCTTGTTTTGTGAATTTATCCACTTTAAACACAATGAGAAAAGCATGGGGCCCAGGAGCGCACTGTGTGATAAACTTCATTATCTCAGGCGTCAGCTCCTCCTCAGATGTCTCTGTGTCGAAGAAACCAGGAGAGTCGATCAGAGTGAGGCTTCTTCCACTGACGAGTTTGGTTTCTGCTTGACATTTACTTGTTTCAGAACTGGCAGTAGTATTAGATGTGAACAGTTTCTCTCCAAATATGGTGTTAGCCAGGCTGCTTTTCCCACATCCAGTTTTCCCCAAGATAACAATTCTTCTGTTTGACTCTGAAAGAAAATAATGTCCATCAATAAAACTCTTTACTTGACTTTTTATTTTTTTTATGGAAGATGCTCATGTGCTTAATATACAAAAAGGTCTTATTTACTCAAAAAATCACAATAAAAAGCTAGAGCTGTTAGTACGGCACTGAAATAGTTGGAATGTTAGCTTTAATTAAATGTATTAAGTCAACAGATTACACAAAATTATATAACAGGTTAGTTGAAAGCAATAATATTAACTCTAATCATTGCTTTCAACTAAACAGACGCAATTACGTATCATGAAACATTGTTTTTGTGTGTGTGTAAACAGAGAACAAGTATCTGTACCACTGTCAAGGAACTTGTTTAAATGTTTAAATAATAATAATAACAAAGTGTGATAAATAGCGCGGCCAACCGGCATGGAGAAAATCTTATAAAATGTTTTTTATAAGTACTATTTTTGTGAGTACCAATCACTGTACAGCAATGTGAGAACATTTAAAGAACAACATTAAAAGCCATTTAAGCGTGGAGTCTGACAGGGTTGGGGAAAATAGGACCCAAATGCAGTAAAAGGACAAAAAAAGGTCAAGTAACAAAAGGCGAGCTTTATTAAAAATCTGAAAACAGGAAAAATAAGAAACTACTTCACATAACAAAACCGGGGAGCATGACGAACACAAACTTACAAGCAGCCAGGAACATGGACAAAAGCGATGAACAGGAGACATGGACTAGACTAGACTAGACGAAACGAGACGGGCAGGTAACATGAACAAGAAGAGACGACGAACAGAAATGGACTAAATACACAGAAGGGTAATAACAGGACAAGACACAGCTGGGTAGGGGGGGCAGAAACACAAGGGCAACAGGTTAACACAATCAGAAAATCAGATACAGGAGGGAAACTTTAAGACAGGAAGGCAAACACAGGAAGTAGGACGAGGCAAGACACAAAGAGGAAAACATTTTTTTTTTAAAAGGTGGAAAATGAAAACAACGTAAATCCAAGACCATGACAGAGTCTGCACACAAATTATTTAAATACAAAATAGTTAAATATATGTATCTTGCCAGAGCAGTGTTGACCGAAAAACCTCAAAGAATATAACTTACCGTCCATGTTGTCAAAAGCAAAGCAACTGTGGAGCGACTGCTAGTCAGAGGGACAAAAACTGAGGTGTTCCCAACGGGGCACAGATCTGGTGACGAGGTGAATTATGCATTCAAATAAGATTAAAAAAAAATTCTCATCAGCGTGTTGCTATGAGTTAACACAAATTTGGGCGAGGCTTCATGTGCGCTTTAATCTTATCAAACCACATTTCTCTGTTAGCATTCAGATGTGGGCCATAATAAGTGGCAATTTGTATACGAAGGGAACATGCTGTGGATAGTTTGGATTGAGTTTCGAGTTATTAATTTAGACGTTACAAAAAACAATCAAGCAACCATGTATAATAACTGTATGAAGTGGAGCTGCAAATACAATTCACTGTTTAGAAAAAACCCAGTCAAAAATTATCCATAAATGTAATTAAGTAATTTTTCTTCAGCCGAGTATTTCAATGACAGACCTTTGGGTCATGTGAAATCATAAAATGGCATTATGTTATTTGTTCCTTGACTTCAATTTTTAACTGTAGATGTAGTCTTCTTTATTGACATACAAACCCCACTAAATGTCTTCACCCAAATCATTAGAATAGACTGCTCTCTGGTGGGCAGGAGATGATACTGCAGGGTTAAATGGTGTTATTAGAGTTGTGGTCTTTTTCTCTCACCCTTTATTCAGAAAACAAAATAGGAAACTTTAATTTAGATTGACTTTATTATTATTTGATATCACACGACAAAACTATCAGCATCAGTCTCCTCAGATAAATATGTAATACAATTTGTTATTCGTGAGCAGTGTTCACAAATAATATGAACTAAAATTCCCCTTTCTTTCTGTTT